GTCACTCTTTCTGACGTCTATCACTCTGTCTGACATCTGTCACTCTTTCTGACTTCTGTCACTCTTTCTGACGTCTATCACTCTGTCTGACATCTGTCACTCTTTCTGACTTCTGTCACTCTTTCTGACGTCTATCACTCTGTCCGACTTCTATCATTCTGTCTGACTTCTGTCACTCTTTCTGACGTCTATCACTCTGTCCGACTTCTATCATTCTGTCTGACTTCTGTCACTCTTTCTGACGTCTATCACTCTGTCCGACTTCTATCATTCTGTCTGACTTCTATCATTCTGTCTGACTTCTGTCACTCTTTCTGATGTCTATCCCTCTTTCTGACTTCTATCACTCTGTCTGACTTCTGTCACTCTATCTGACGTCTATCACTCTGTCTGACTTCTGTGACTCTGTCTGATTTCTATCACTCTTTCTGATGTCTATCACTCTTTCTGACTTCTGTCACTCTTTCTGATGTCTATCACTCTTTCTGACTTCTGTCACTCTTTCTGACTTCTRTCACTCTTTCTGACTTCTGTCACTCTTTCTGATGTCTATCACTCTTTCTGACTTCTATCACAGTTTCTTTCCAGTGGGTGCTGCTGAGCCCCTTTACCGTCACAAAGCACTCACAGGCGGACACACTGCACACTAGCCTCACGCCAGTAACAAGCTGCAAACATGGCAGACAGTTTGAATGTTGTGGACCAGATTTTGGTGAAGCCATTTGATAGTCTTCCTTATGAAGAAAAACTAAGAGTTAAACAGCAGGGCTGATCAACTCCTCAAAGTAATTTGGTGCAAAAGGTGGGGAAAAGTACCAGGTCTTTTCAGCTGTCCTGGTATGACAAAGTGAGCTGGCTGACTGGAAGTGCTGTAAAATGATCTGTGACCCAAAGGAACGGAGGATAGAATTTACATATAAATAAACCAACACGTTYTATGATGTAGGCTAAAATTCAGCTTCCCCTTCTTGAAAGACCAACATCTGCCACTGTACTGAAAGTAATATTTTTCAATCAGTAAGTGAAAAAAGACAACTCATTCCAGATCCACAGTGTTTGTTTGTTTGTTTCAACAGATACCTTTCTTTTCAAATCCTTTATCTTCTTTGTTTGTCTCTTCGTCTTTAAATGTGTCTTYTGTCTTCTCTTCCAAAATGACTGAATCAACAGACACAAAACACTTTTAATATTATAAACTTCCCAGCTCTGCAGCTCTGTAAATAAAGGTTTAATTGTTCTGTGGTCTTCATATTTAATTCTGACTTTAGCCACTTTAGCCTGACAATAATTTAATCTGTCAGTTATTTAATCAAACCTTCTTCACTRAAAACCATGACCAGACAAACAAACTTGCCTGATAAAATTTCCTGATGAATAAATTTTTTATCTGGTGAAGAGGTATGAATACCACTATGATCCTGGGGGTTATGTTGCCTGCAAGGTTAGCCCATGACAAACTGGCCTCAAGGACCAATTCAAAGATTCAATCAAGAATGACAGAAAACAGATTTCTTTACTCTGATCAGCCTGTGTTCAATCCTGTGGTTGAACCTTAGTTTTTGGGGCTCGGCTGAGACAAGCACACCTCCACGGAGCTCACCTTTCCAAAGAAGAGTCCCGGTCAGGTTCTGTGTGAGCTGGGTAGCAGGTGAGGGAAGGACCCTAGGCGTGCTCACTCCTGACATCATATACTGACTTTGTATGTGGAATGTCACAGAACTGGTTGAAAAGAACAAGAACTTATGGGCGAGTTTGAGCTTGTCTCTGTGTCCAGCTCAGGCTCAGGAACCTAGCTCCTGAAGAAGGYCTGGACCCTCTCCTTCTCTGGAGGATGGGAATATTCACATGGCCCCAGTTGTGTGCCTTAGTGTTGGAGTTCTTCCCATAGAATGAGAGGATTTTCTTCCTTATGCTCTGAAGCTGAAGGAAGCTAAGTTCTGACTGTGTGCCTATACACCGAACATTAGATCAGGTTACTTGACCTTCTGTGGGTGGTGTCTTAGAAGGGGTGCCATCTGAGGGTTCGAATATTTTTCTGGGGCCAAAATATCAATGTCCATGTGGGCAACAATGGAGTCACTTTGAGGGTAGTGACCATATTTGTGCATAGGGGGATCCATAGGTATACTTAACTTAATACCAGGTCACATTGTCCCTAAGGTCACTGCTGATTTTCTAATCATATTATTGTGAGTGATAGTCCACTTCAGTTTTGCATGGACACCACACCATTTTGCCACTCCGGAGGTATCTGATGCTAAAGTAATGTGATGTAAAACCAAAACAAGAGTACTGCTTAAAACAAAGATTATTCCATTTGCCTGCTTGCACACACATTTTGTTTTGCAATATCATTTCCCATAAAGCATTGCTGCTAACAGACCACAGCTGACTTGTTCTATGGTATAAATGATCTTATGGTCATAGATCTCTGTGTTGACAGCTCTGTTATGTTTTGTAAAACAGAGTTTGCATAAAACTCCAAGACTTAATTGTGAAATTTGTTGAAAATGGCACAGTCTAAGTAATTCAGTTGGTCTTCTAACAGAACTTGTCTGATATTTCAAACTGAGAATTATCTGATAGATTTCTGTAACAGGTCATACATTAACTACTGAGAAAAACACCAAAAACATAACTTTAACTACACTGAACCCCTCCTTAAAGTTTGCTGACTGGACTAATTTGCTTTAACAAGATCATCCACCAAAACTGGCCATAAATATGTCCAAAAGCTCTAAATGACTGTTTGTTTTGTGTTTATGAAGTTAAAAGGTGGCCTGATTCATGTGTGACATAATGACTTTTCTCTTGTTTCAATATGGTCCTTCCATAACCTGGRCTATTTTATATTGAAAAGAAGCACATTGTTAAATTTTAACATTTTATTGTGCCATCTTTTAATCTAATTAACTTCAATTCATGAATAATTTGACAATTATTCATGAACAGATTTTTTGCTTGCATCCCTAATTTAAACAGATTTTATCTTTACTTTACTACAACCCCTGGCAAAAATGATGGAATCAGCTGCATCAGAGGATGTTCATTCAGTTGTTTAATTTTGCAGATCACAGACACACAAAAYTAAAGTCTTTTCAAATGGCAACTTTCTGGCTTTAAGAAACACAAAGAAATCAAGAAAAAATGTGGCAGTCAGTAACASTTTATTTTTTTAGACCAAGCAGAGGGGAAAAATATGGAATCACTCAATTCTGAGGAGAAAATGATAGAATCATGGAAAACAAACAAAAGTAGACTCCAACACATCACTAGTATTTAGATGAACCGCCTCTTGCTTTTCTAACAGCTGCAGTCTCTGAGACATGGACTTAATGAGGGACAAACACTCTTTATCTATCTGGCTCCACTGAAGATAACTTTCATCCACAGTCCATGATTACTTTCCTCAGCCCACTGTAACCTTGTTTTTTATGTTTAGGTGTTAATGTTGGCTTTTGTTTAGTTTTTCTGTGTGTAAATCCCATTTCCTTTAGGCAGTTTCTTACAGTTTGGTCACAGACGTTGACTCCAGTTTCCTCCCATTCCTTCATTTGTTTTGTTGCATTTTCGGTTTTGGAGACATGTTGCTTGAAGTGTTCTGTCTTGACTCGATGTCTTTCTTGGTCTATCAGTATGTTTGYCTTTAACAACCTTCCTGTGTTGTTTGTGTTTGGTCCAGATTTTAGACACAGCTGACTGAACATCCAACAGATTTTGCAACATTGTGTGATGATTTAGCCTCTTTAAGAGTTTGATGATCCTCTCCTTTGTTTCTATTGACATCTCTGGTGTTGGAGCCATGATTCATTTCAGTCCACTTGGTGCAACAACTCTTCAAGTTGTGATAATTCCTTTTTTGATGCAGACTAATGAGCAGATCAAATTTGATGCAGGTGTTAGTTTTGGGAATGAAAATTTATTATTTTCTCCTCAGAATTGAGTGATTTCATATTTTTCCCCTCTGCTTGGTCTAAAAAATAAAGTGTTACTGACTGCCACATTTTTTTCTTGATTTCTTTGTTTCTTAAAACCATAAAGTTGCCATTTGAAATGACTTTAGTTTTGTGTGTCTGTGATCTGCTTTTATCTACAAAATTAAACAAGTGAATAAACATCCTCTGAGGCCACTGATCCCTTTTTGCCAGGGGTTGTAATCCTCCACTCAGTAGACTCATTCCTCAGACTGGTGAACCTCTGGCCATCTTCAGTCCTGTGAGATTCATCCTCTCTGAAGCAGCTTGTTTTACACTTTGAGTTGCACGTCTTGTTCCCCCTGCCGAGTGACAAAACATTTGATGTCTTTTTCTGGAGTGAGTATAAATGGACTTCAGGACATACATTTATATATTTCCTCCCTCTGCCCTCCCACAGCTGAGTAGTGAAACAACAGTAATGATGGCTGGATATTAAGATTTATTTTGCTCAACAATCAGTGTTGTGTTTAAAATCCTCAGAGGAAAAACTTTATTTTTGTTGGTGATGGTGGAAAAAAGAAAGAGAATCAGCTGCATGCTCACATCCAATAGGATCAAACCAKCTGATCTTCTAGCTCTTTTAACAACTGGCTTCAGACAAAAAAAACCATTTTAAACAAAATAACAGAAGGAAGATCTGCACTGTGACCAGCTCTGGAGCAGAACTCCAGATCTGAGGAGCTGGCTTGCTACTGGACCACCACTTGCTCCTCAGTAATCATTCACAAAGTCCTGACTAATCACATGCAACATCCGGGTCACAGAGTTCTGACTGGGGCAACACACATGAAGCTGTCACCAGGGGAGAGCAGCAGGAGAGCAGACAAGTTGTGCAGTTTTTTGTCACTCAGCAGGAGGAACAAGATGTGTAACTTGAAGTATAAAGCAGCCTTAAGGCTCTCTTTATGTTCAGTGCTCTGACTGACTTCTAATTATTTACAACAATCTCCTTCAGCTGATTCTTATTTCTACAACTTATGTTTGTAGGCTTTTGTTGACCCTGGCTCAGCTTTTTAAAGATGAGCTGTAATTTTTAACTCTTTTTTTTTTTTCATTTTTTACAAAAGTACAATTTCAACATGTGATATGCTCTCCATGTTTCATTGTGAATCAAACATGGATTTCAGATCAGTAGAAATGCCAATCTATTTTTATTTACATTTTACACATTGGCTCAGTTTGGAATTAAGTTGTAATTTCAAAATTTATTTACATGTAAAACACATTTTACGTTATGTTTACTCCTATTCTAAATGAAATATGCTTTTTTTGTTTTACCTTTTTCCTTTTTTTCTTGTTTCGAGCCTTTTTTTTCTTCATACTGTGATCCTTCGAACGATTCCTCTTCAGAAGGTTTCCTTGTCTGCTGGGAGTCCAATGCCTTCACAGGACTAGATTGGTTGAAGCTTTTAGAAACTTTATTTGCCATCCAATCGCCTTCCCCTTCTCTAGAGGATGGCAACAAAAACTGTTCAGGAGTCTCAGGAGCTGGTGTGGAAGCATCAGGAGGAAGTACATTTGTTGGAGTATTCAGAGTTCTTGTGAATAGCACTTTTAAAGTGCGAGCTTCTGGATCAGGTACATCATATGGAGATACTTCTGCAGGTAGTAAATCAGGAGAAAATGCATCTGTAGAAGGTATTTCTGGAGTGGCATCAGGAAAAGGTGTACCTGAAGGAGGTAAAGCCAATAAAGTGTCTGAAGTTCTAGAGGTTGACACTTTTGGAGGCAGGTTTAAAGGCAGTGAATCAAAAGGGGGTGCATCTGAAAAAGGTAATTCAGGAACAGGCAGTTCAATGAAAATATCCTGAGTTGGTGACATTTGTAGTGGAACTTCTGTAGGAGGAAGTTCTACTGATGCAACAGAAGATACAGAGGATGGTTCACCTGGAGTACTGTCTGAAGAAGGTGGATCCAGAAGGTTTAATTCTATTGATGCATCTTTAGTCTGTGACTCCTGCACTTGTGCAGTAATACTTGAAGAGGGTATATTTTCCAGGGGTGACTCAGGGGATGGGACAGCTGCTGTGGTTTCAGCAGGAGGTAGATTCAGGGATGGTATGTTCAATTGTTCATCTGGAGGAGCTGCAGGAGGAACTGAAACATCTAGAGTTGTCTCAGGTCCTGTTGTGAGACGAGTATCTCCTTCCTGACTTGCTGGAGAAAAAACTTTGTTACTGGCTCGGCTCTGATCTGGGATAGATGCTGGTTTTGGAACTCTGGCTGATGGCACTACTTCAACAGAAGATGGAATGATACTGGTCATCAAGTCAGCATTACGTGTCCCAGATAACGCAGGGCCTGGAGTAGAACCAAAGGGGGCAGTCACTGAATCAGTCACAGACACTTCCAGGTCACTACTGCTGCCTGGGATTGCTGGGCTTTTACTGGTGACACTGGAGTCACTTTTGATAGTGCTGAGAGCAGAGACAACTGCTGTGGACATAGATCCAGTCTGCAGCTTTAGACTGTCTTCTGAATATCCTGCAGTACTGCCGAAGTCAAAAAGTGCCTTTGTAGTAGTGACTGTGTTGCTGCTGTCGGTGAAAACTAAAGTTTCAGTGTCATATGTGATAATGTCGACTGCATCAGTTGTAAGAGTAAAATAAGTTAAAGTTCTACTGTCAGTCTTGGACATACTGAGGGTCCTATCACTATCTGTGTCAAATACAGAAGCATCAATAGCAGTAGTAGAATCAGCTGTAGTACTTGTTTCTGCAACACTGATAGTCCATGGATCAGTGGTGGTAGAACTACTACCTGTATCTGATCCAGTGCTCAAGTCAGTACTCAGTGTGTTCAAAGACAAAGCTGGATCACTTTCTGTAACTGTACTAGTACTGTCAGTAAAAATACTGCCAATAAGTGTAGGTGTAGTCCCAACAGCAGCATTTATATCAGTCCAAGTACTACTGACAGTTGTGGTAAAAATGGTGGTAGAACTGTCAATGAAAGGAGTATTTGGGCCTGTAGTAAGAGTAGAAGGAGCAGTATCAGTAGTAGCAGCAGCAGCAGCAGCAGTAGTAGTAGTAGCAGTAGTAGTAGTAGCAGTAGTAGTAGTAGCAGTATCAGTAGTAGTAGCAGTAGTAGTAGTAGCAGTAGTAGCAGTAGTAGTAGTAGTAGTAGTAGTAGTAGTAGTAGTAGTAGTAGTAGCAGTAGTAGTAGTAGTAGTATCAGTCTCTCCATCTGATGAGGCAGAAGGTCTGTCAGATGCTGCTGAGTTAGAGTCACCAGCCGCTGTCAGAGAAGAAAAGTTATAACTCTTTAGTGAATTTGTTCTCCAGTGAAACTGACTGAAATCTGCAGAACAGGAAACTGAGCTTTACAGTTTAATCTACTTTAACTGGTGTCTCACAACACCACTCTTCTTTTCTGTACAAGTAACATCACATTGTGATCAGGAAATTAGCTATTTTGCAGTTCTATAATGTGTCCAAACAGGAATATTTAACATAAATGTAAAAATTAGGCCGCCTTGTGAACAAAAAGAAAAAACTGTTGTTTTGTGAAATGGTCTGTAAATTTTCAGAAATAATCTATAAGCCAGACCATAGAGATGCCAGTGAAAGGTTTGAATCAGGCCTAAAAAATCTGTTCCAGCCTGAGCCCGAAGACATTGTATCCAAACCTAATTCAACCCAACTAATTAACTTTGATTAGAGTTAGAAGTAAACCCGATTTATTATAATTACCATACTTATGTGGGTTTAATGCAATCTCCATTTTTTTTACTTAAAAAGCCTAAAACTCTGGTCCCCATCTGAAGTGCTGTCCCTAATTTCATACAGTCCTCAGAATTTTTCAGCTTTTAAAGACCTATCCAAGAATATACAAAATCAATCAAAATTTACTCCCATAAAATACGATTCCCCAAATTTATGGATGATTTTTTTGGGTTAGATTTTATACACACATAAATACTGTAAGCTTTTAGTGCTTTTGTTTTTAGACCACCATAGTTTTTAAGCAAATCAGGTAGGAGAGGAGCAGAGCGTGGCATTCAGTACTTGTGCTGAAATGCTGGACTTGCTGCTGTGCATCATGGTTAAACATCTGTCCTTTGGTCTCATGGGTCCAAAGGACATTGTCCCAGAAGTCTTGTGGATCACTCAAGTGAAACTCTACAAACCTGTCATGCTGCTGCATTGTTTTTAAGAGAGAAGAGATTTTCTCTTGCAACCTTTCCAAACAAGGCATGACCTTTAGTCTGYGAAGTGATGAATGTAGAATCTGACTTGCAGCTCATTTCTCTGAGCAGTGCACAGTCTGACCTGTAGGGTGGATTTGTTGGAGCATCTAATCTTGGAAAGATAGGCGGCTGTCGTAAATGTTTACTGCTTAAGAATAATTTTTCTCTCTTGGTGGACTCCAAATAGTTTGCAAAGTCCCACTGAGCCTTCCCAGATTGAAGGGCAGCAGCAGTTTCTTTTCTAAGGTCATTGCTGATATTTTTCTTCCTTGGCATTGAGTCAACACACCTGTGTACTCCTGAGGAACACACAATGGGCCTCATGCAAGAACCGTTGGTTC